CTACAGATATTCTCTTCTATTGGAATATAAGGTTAGTAATGTTTAATTAAAAAATAGGGTGAAAAGAAACATTCACCTTTAACATTCGTGTCATCCTATTATAAATTGTTTTCCAAAATTGTTGAGCTTTGGAAAATTATTTATAATAGAACAAAATGATTTGGTTCCTGATGGACCAATTGTTCCTTTTGCTTGCATATTATAATCTTTCCCTAACTTGATTACCACCATAATTGTTCAGGCCAGCAGCTTCCATAACCTCAAGCTTGCATGGCTAACAGTGGTGGAAATGTAACACATCTGGAAGATAGGTTGGGCTGCCATACTGACTCTACCTAAAGAGACACAGGCCCCAAATGGCCAGTGGACAATGGAACCCATTGGGGTATCTTTGGGCAGATTGTTGTCTTTAATTGCAATCTACTTCACAAAATTGTTGTGATGATAAATGGAAGAAAGACAGATACCCTCTCCCGAGCTTCCAGAGGAAAGGTGAGATGTAACTGTAGTAATAAATATTTATTTGTAGGACATATATGGCCGCCTATCACATATAATGATTTTAGGTGGCTCACAACAACCCATAAAACAAAGATAAAAGCAGAAGTATCCTTCCCCCCAGGTGCCAGACCAAACAGCTTCCTAGGTCAACCCCCATCCTAGCCGAATGCTTGGAGAAAGAGCCAGGCCCTCAAGCCCTCCAGAAGGTTAAAAGCATAGGGATCCCTCTGATATCAGGTGAGAGGCTATTCCAAAGGGCTGGGGCAGCCACTGAGAAGGCACATCTCTGAGGTCCCATCAGGTGGTAACATTGTGATGCAGCAGGTTTTTAGGGTAGCTGAGCAAAGAAGCAAGCATTTTTTTCTTGACAAAAGGGATAGGTAAGGAGATAGTTGGTAAGGAAGCACTTAAAAAGTTTTCATTTCAGCTGGCATGAGCCAAAAGTTCCTACATTTGTATGAAATGACTTTTTTTTAACATATACTTCAGGCAGGCAGAAAAAAGGAAGGAGAAACCCAGCTGTTTGGTGGGGGGGGACTTCAGAGCACCTTCCCACTATAATTATTTCCATTCCCCAATCTCTCCAAAGAAGTTGGAAGCCAATCTGTGATCACCTGCATGTCATGAAATGCTGCATATATACAGGCAACACAAGTCTATCAGCATTCGCCTTCTGCTCCCAACAGGAGAGAATAGAAACATCTCCCATCCAATTGCTCACCCTAAGTTGCAACATCCTAGGGCTTCATACACCTCCTCCCCTGCCTTCCAAATAGAATGAAATAAATAAACTCCCAGCACCAGACAGATGAGTGACAGGATGCTAAAGCTAGATGCAAGAGACAAAGAGAGTGATCCCTGTTCGATGTGAGAAGCCAGAAGTTGGGGTGAAGCAAGAGTGCCCACCAATGTGGAGGAGGCCTATCCATAAGTATCAAGAGCTTCAGCATTGCAAATGGCAAAAATATCTCTTCTGCAATTTGTGACACAAGCTGAGCCAGAACCCCCCGCCACCCCCCCACAAAAGCAGCTCAGCTCATCAAACACAAGTGATGACATGAGATTGCTCAGGCATCAGCTATTTCATGCCTGTGATGCAAAGACCTGTGGAGAAGTACCCCATGTAGCACAAAGTGTTGATGTTTGTGTGGTGTTGTTTTCAAAGCAAGATTTTAAATCTGTCATCACCCCAAGAAGTCCAGTTTTCTCTATTGAATGAAATTAATAGAAAATGACTGTAGATTGTGACAAATCTCCATCTTAAGCTCTGAGCTGAAAAAATCTGAATGATCACTAGATGGAAGCAAAATAACACATAAACCTCAAACTCTCTGCTGCCACCTATCAACCATGGAGAGGTTTGCAGCCCAGATCTGGTAGCCCCACACTTTCTCAAAGCCTATGTACCTGTCCTTTCAGTTCTTCTTCACCAAAAAGACTTAAAAGTTTGTTAATAGTAGAATATATTGTAGATATAAGACAAGCTACAGCTGGATTACACATGTAAGTTTTACAACAGTTGCTTAATAGGTGTTTGAGGTATGGAAGTGATTCCATTGAGTGTTTTGGAGCAAAAATTGCCAGTGTCTGCTATTACATTTTTCCAGTTCTTAGATGTAGAGTAGAAGCATAGACAATGATTCATGCAACAACAAAGAGACTATAAACCTTTGAAATGTGGATTTTATAGAAAACTATATAAACTACAATAACATGAATGTAAACAAAATGAGATGGTCCTCCAAAGAACAGATATTGTATATGGAAATTGTGAATACCATCACAAAAAGGACATTGAAATATTAAGCATACAGGATAAGCAATCAGAAATATCTAGGAAAGATTCAAGGAAACTTGGTGCTGGCAGATGGCGCAAATCCTAGCTGAAAAATCTACATGCATTGTTTGGCAAAAATACATGTCCCAGTTTAGAAACATCAAAAGAACAAATAATGTTGCTGGTCACCAATCTTTGGTAGGAGATGACACAAAAAGAAGAAAAACTAGGAGTTCATTTGTGATGGTTTATGGTTCATGCACACAAGTTGTGTGAACACTGATGAGCATCACAGAGTAGTGGCATCTGCCTTGCTACTCTTCCACGAATCCTATTTTGACTCAACTTTTTCTGAAAGTGAGTCGTGAACTTTAGCCAAGATGAGACTGACCTGAAAAATCCATGGATGTTGTCCTGGACCATTCTATGTGGAATTCTTATAGTGATTTTGGGAAGACTCATTATTATCCCAGATGGTCTCAATTTCAAGAGTACATCTCTGACTGTGAATTGGGGAAGCCCAGAGCTTCAGAAATTGTGCTATAGTCTTTTGCAGATTGATAGGTATTAATGACTTTTGTTAATGGAGGCCTTCAGAAATTTCTTTTGAGTGGGCATGTCATGTCTCTAGAATTTTGTCCTGCATAAACTTCACTGTGATGAGTTGAAACCAAACTTTATAAGATTGATATAAAGCATGAGTGACCCAAAACAGCCCTCATTGTTTAATGGAGTACTGAAAGAACTGCCCATAGTTAATCCCTTAATGTAATTTATTGAGTTGGGGTGAGTATTATGTTCAGACTGGGACTTTACATTCTGAATTACTTTGTTTATGAAATAAATGAAGCAAGTACCATACTTGGGTATTTGCTTCTTTTATATATAAGTGGGACCCACATGAAGTTCTGTCAACATTTAGCAGCAAAGATATGCAGCAATTCAGACACACACACACACACACACACTTTTATGCAGTAGCATAAGCTAACAAAGACATCTCAGATTGGAACACCTGAAAAATTAAGAGCAGACAAGGAGAATCTTAACAACAATAAGCAACTGAAGGGAAGCCACAGAGCTGGTGGAAAATGTAGCACACAGTTTGATGCACACATTCACTACTTTAAAGAAATGTCCGAGATCCACTTTTTATGGAGTAGGAAGGCCTGTAGTTTAATTGTGATATTCTTTAAAAAATGTTCTGCCTCAATAGTCCAGTAAGAGTAGCACGTGGTCCACTTAATACCTTTAATTTAAATACATCTGAAGGAATACAGCTGCTTTGAAGGTACAGGAGAAAGGTGGGGGACTCTTGGAAGAAACTAGGCAGTGATTCAAGTAAAATTATTGAAAAAAATGATCAGGGTCCCTAGAGAAAGTATAGTTCACAAATGGTATACTGCCTCATTAGAAGACCTCCAATTTGGTCCATGGAGTTTTAAATTGGAAAAAGTCGCTGCTCGTACTAGAAAATCCACCTTGGTTTGGTGCATGGACAGTGCCAAACGTGATTGGCCAATGAATTAACTCAGAATAAAAGTGGTTCATAACTTAACCACATAGTTAGATCCCTTCACTGAAGGATTTGCATGTTATGCCATGCACAATGAATGTGGGACAATCTTCTTGTGATAGGCAGTAAAAGAGTTTTGTAGGAGAACTACATCTGATGCTGAAGCCTATTTTAGACAGATGTTTGGGAGCTTCAGCTAGAACTGCTGTTTTATTATTTAGTTAGACTTTAAATTAATATAATAAATGTTTAGAAAATGTAACCACACTTGTGTTAACTTTTGGCAACCCAGATTGAACTCTTTGAAACTTGCCTGTTGTATTAAAAAGAAAGAAACTGGCTTCTGGTAACAGGAGACAGTGAAATGATGTATATTTATATAAAGAAAATGGTGCAATCTAAAAAGATCAGAATACACGTGTTGTGTTGCTTTATCTTTTTATCTTGTCATAATGTACAACAATAAGTTATATATACAAAATTACACAAAATTGTTACAGTATTTATCAAGAAATGCAGAACTAATTTTACTTTTTGCTGCTTTTTAAATTACAATAAAAAGCTTCTCTCTATATTAAACAAAATATTAAATATTCCTCTGTTCACATTGGTACTGTTGATTTCAAAGCCTTGATGTTCCCCACACATAAAATATGTATTTTTAAACAATTACCAGAACAAATCTAGTGACATTTCTTTAGTTCTCCAAGATAACATTGTCAGTAGGAAGTGGGGATCTGAATAATTATTTATGGCTGGGAGCTGCGTTTATATGGAGCTGCAGAATATGGATTTGAAATTCTTGCATGTTGTAATCCCAAAATTATGACCCAAAGGCACTTTTTTTTAAAAAAAAAACAGCGCTTCTGGATTCCACCAAAGCTAATACTACAGAGCTGGAATGAAGAACCAGATCCAGTTCCCAGCAAAGTATCTATGGGGTAACTTTACTGTGTCACCATCTTAAAAAAAAAAATAGATAAAATCTCCCTTGGGTGCAGCTCAACTCATGATTACTTGATACATCCATCTTGTTTTCTCAGCAACACTACACAAGCAGTTTGCCAAAGTCTTATTCTGGTATGGCTATTATTATGGTTGGTCACACAGTCAGCCAGATGTTTAGACTGGATTTGGCATTTTTATTCACCTATCGAGTCCTTCCCAAGGACCTGGGATAGGCAGATGTTGTTTGAAGGTATCACTGCAGGATATAAATTATTATTATTTCTGATCTAGTAGGCCCAGCTCTGCTTAGCTTTTTCAAGATCAGCCAAACTTGGCTAGACCCTGCCACCTGCTATGACAATTGCCTAGCTTTGGATAATTGTCATGGGGCAGATGTTGAGCATAGCAACACTGGATGGTCTTCTTCTGCCATCCAACATCTCATGATGTAATGGTTAATGGTGTGGTATTTGCAAATGCTAATTCCACAGGAGAAGGAGAAGCTGTCCCCTTTCACTAGAGAGATCGCTTGGGTTTGCTCTGAGCATCCATCTGAATATTCAAGCTGTGCACTAGATTACAGGCCATAGATTCTCAGGATAAAACCCAAAGCTACTTCCTCCCCTTTTTCAAGGTGCTAATCTGGAATTCTGTTTATTTGTATCTATGAAAAGAGATGTAAAGATTGCTTCAAGCTGCACTGGAAAAAAAGAGCTATAACAAATATTGCTTTCACAAATTAATTACAGGAGATAATTTTATCATATTCAGAGGGGAAAGGACACATCTGAGATAGTAAAATATACTTTAATGCAAGAACTCACAGGCTAACAAATTGGATGCTGCATGGAGACACAACAATATTAAATATTCATCTCAGTGACCCCATTAGAGTAGAAACTGATTTTTTTATTTAGAATGAAGGCACTAGGGGGTTGGCCTAGTTATTATTTTCCCGAACATGAGTTATAGTGTTATAGCATTTTCATTCAGTCATGCTTCTTGTAATTAAAAATGTTTTAAAGGCATGTTGTTTCTTTTAATAATAACTTACTGAAATCTGTCCACATAGCAGTTTCTGATAGGTATATTAACAAACTTGCTAATTAAATTTCTACCAACTCTTGGGCTCTGTAATTATGATTCCTGCCAATAAAAACAGGGACTATTCCTTTTAAATCTACAAATAAAGATCATAGCCCATTCTATCCAAGGGCACATTAAATAGAGACTGGGATAAAGTTTAATAGATATTATTCTCTCGTTCTTGCACAAAGTAGTTTAGCAGGATGGGTCACAGGAACTGGTCCAGATGCAAGTTTCTCAAGCACTGATGGAAGGTAAGAAAGAAGGAGGGCCCTAAGGGGATTCTCCAGGATAATATGCCCCAATTATGGGCACTATGCCTGTACAACTATAGATCATCATAGGTATGGTATTCCTACAATCAACATTTTCATGGGCTTCATATTCAAACTTGTTACAGAGTTACTTTAAAGAATATTGGAAAAATCAGAACCTTAACATTAAATAAAATAACTTAGAGCAATAAAGTTTTATTGGTCAGTACTTAGTCCAACATCCTGTTGTTAGGAAAGAAAGTCTCCACTGATGACTTCTGAGGAGCCCTCATCTGCAGTTGAAGCCCTGATGACTATGATAAATATAATTCACATGGGACATAGGCAGATGGATACCACCCAGTAAAAGATGAATTAAATCAAACGCATCCCCAAACATGCCCAAACCCCCTGCAAGTTCACATCCTGTGAAACATCGGGACTAGTGTGCTTGTTTGCTCAGACATAAGCCAGATTTGTTAAAAAACCAAGATCATAAGAACTATAGTTCACCATATTCAAAGGTAAGAGGGAACTCATTTCAAAAGTAGATACTTTCTGTTTCCCCATTAACTACTATTGTTTAGTATTCCTATTACAGTTGTCCAGAAAAAACAGTTTGGGTAAAGTAAAGCACAGAAGGAATACTGAACATACCACCTCCATTTCTGTTGGTGACTGCAACAACTCTAGTCAAGAAACCTATAATATGTTTTCCATAGAAGAGTTGAAACCATAATTAATTTCATCTGCATCTAAAGCTGATCAATTTGATAGATGCATTATAAGCTTCTGCTTCATTAATGATCTGTTTTCAAGAGTTAGCAAATGTTTCCATTTGTTTGTTCTAGTGCATAAAAGATGGCCACAATGAGATGTTTATGAAATGCAATATTAATAAATAAATTCTGCTTATTTTATATGTTTCCACTAGTATCTATGAAAATATTGCTAAAATCTCTGTGTGGGCCACATATACAAAATCTTATTTGCTAAAATTTGAATAAATTTTGAAATAAAGCTATAGATCTTGCAACAATTATATTTCAGCTAACTTCACCTACAGACCTGGATTTTTTTTCTCCCCAAAATCCATGATATATGAGAGGAAAATGATAATTCATAAAATACTAGGTGTAGCAGCACTGATCTTCATTTATGTATCTACCAACACTATTTTTGATGTGATCCACTCATTATCCAGGACACAAACAAAATTAAGGCATATTTCTTCAAAGCAAGCAATGATACTAGTAAATTGATCTCTACCGATGCTTGTAAATGGCACTGTAAATGAATTGTAATATCTTTTGGGGACATAAACAAGTCTTGTTGAAAAAGTCTTCAGCTTGAGCTCTTTGTATTTGGTTCTGAAAACCAAGAACAAATCTTGGTTCCCTTGATTGTTTCAATAGCAAGAACGATACTGAAACAAAAGCTATGGAGGCTTTCAAAAGTTTATCTCCTCCTGAGTCCCTTTGTTATTTGAATCATCCCATCAGTCCTATGGAAATGAAGATCACAAAAATGCAAATCAGGAGGTCACAGCTGGATCAGGCTTGGGCATCACTTGGGCCCACTCTAAGATGTCTACACTGAGAGACTCCACAGCATCCAATCGCTCAATCTGAACCAGTTTTGTCAGCAGTTCTGGGATACTATACCCAGCTGTGCTGATGCGGTCAAAGAGTTGCATGCCATCTGTCATGCCACCAATTTCATCCCGCTTCAGTCCAAAGCTCTCAGCAAGATGGCGCCAGGTCTTCACAATGGCCTTCTCGGTGTTGTACGTGGAACTGAGCATTCTGCTGGTCTTTTCCAGACAATCGAAGGGCAGCTCTGTGGGACTCAGGCCTGGAAGGAAGTTCACAGTCAGATTATTGGACCTGCCATGTTATTTCACAGACCTCTCCCTTAAGATAATAGTAGACTGTATATTACAAAGGAAAAGATATATTTACATTATGCATTTACAAAGCTGACAGTATCTGAGGGATCGTCCCCATTTCTACTCCATGGTACTTTTTCCCAGTACTGATCATTCTTCATCACAGTTCATTCTATTCTGCTGCTTTGATTTCATCTTGTAGAAGAAGTAGCAATAAATATTGTTAGGTCTCTTACTTTCTGTTTCAAAGTATTCTTTTATTCTTTTCTTGAAATAGTTATTAATCCAGAGCTTCTCTACCCCTTGTGATTTTCTCCCCCTTTAGATGCTTATCGACATAACCTTCTGCCAACCTTCACATGAAGCAACAACAAAATTTAATTAAAGGAGAGAGGTGTGGGCCTCCAGCCTCAAGAAAGGCAGGAGAAATTGTCCATTTATACCAGAATTGGGAATTTGGGGTTCCTGAACTACATGTCTGAACTGTTTCAGCCCACACAGCTATTCATGAAGGATGGTGGAAGTATTAGATCAGTAATATTTGAAAGGTCTCATATGTAGCACCCCTTTATGAGAAACTCAAAAGAACCTTCCTGCAATCTTTTTTTGGTTTTTTTTGGTTTGTGTGTGGGTGTTTTAAAAAATCTTTTCATCTTGGGAGCAATGCACACTCTGTATTAGTTAACTTCCCACATCTTATTACAGTTTAGAACAAATTCAGCTCTGAAAGTTTGTTTTTTTCAGAAGCAAACTTTTGAGATAAAACAAACAAAACAGATGTGAACAGCTTACATCCACACAGGTATAAGTTAGAGATGCCGTATATAAGGTATGTTTATATTTATTTTATTTATTTTTTATATATCAAACTTGTTACCGCCCATCTCGTTGAATGACTCTAGGCAGTTTACAAAATAGTCTATATGTCTATTTTACCGGGGGGGGGGGTTCATAATATAAACCACAGAGGGTTATTTTCTGGTATAGATATAATCAATCAATCAGCTTAAAGAACCCTACAATGGAAGTATATTTTAATACTTTCCATCTTGTGCCATCTGTCTTCTAGAATAACTGTTGAATTAATTCCTAAGCATCATAGATAAAGGCAGAATGCTGGAATTTTTCATGGATATTGGTTACAAAAGAAGTCTTCTCGACTTTTCCCTGTTGAACGTCCAAATATATAAAACGCCAACCTGATTCTGGCATTAGAATATTCAGCTTTACTGCTTCTAAAATAAACGTTAAGAAAAAAAATCTCCTTAGAATGGGATTAATCTGTATCTAGTATTTGTGACCCCTTGGCAGTCTTGAAGCTACATAAAGACTTGTACTTAAGAAAGCAGTTTATATATCTTTTCGGTTTTTGTATTTTCTTTCTTTTCACTCACCTTCTGCCACACTGCATACATTAGCATATAGGTCAAGTATCTTTTTCCTCCGGCTTTGTATCTAAGGAAAATAAAAGACAAAAACATTTATTTTTCAAGACTGAACATAATTTGTTCAGGAAGAGACAGACACAAGGATGGCATTCCTTATGCATGTGCTTTGATGTAGGCAGTACTTTTGGTATAACATAGTTGCCTATGAATCTTGGCTGGCATGTTTAAAAATTTCTACATACCTAGTTGGGAAGAAAGAATGGTGTCTATGTTGTTGTTTGTGTTTTAAGTGAAATCTACTGTATTGCATTTCTACTGACTCGTGTTTCTAATTTGCCATCATTTTCTCTGCTGATGAGGATATCCAGGAAGAATGTGTTGTTGTCTTCTTCTTCTCTTGGAAATGTTATTCCTTTGAAGATGTTGTTGATGGTTTCATGTGTCTTCTCTAGTTGTTCCTTTTTTCTTATGATGAAGGTGTTGTCTACATATTGGATCCATACTTTTGCTGGTATGTGTGGGAGGGCTATAATTTCTAGACGCTGTCTTACAGTCTCTGCTATGAGTCCTGAGAATGTTGGTCCCATGGGTGTTCCTCTGATTTGTTGGTATATTTGTCCATCAAACTCCCACACATACAACCAAAACTATGGATCTGGTATGTAGATAACACCTTCGTCATAATAAAGAAGAAAGGAAGGAAGAAGAAAACAACAACACACTACTCTTTTTGAATACTCATCAGCAGAGGAAATGGCAGCAAATTAGAAATGCAAGTCTATCGAAAAACAACCCACACTAATCAAGTACTCCATTACCAAAATAAGAAACCAACCTCCCACAAGAGTTATTCAGATGAGTACAAACACACTGCAGCAAACCAGAACACCAGAAAAAGGAAACAGACCGCCTGTACAACATCTTCCAACAAAATGGATACCCATGCAACTTTACCAAAAAGTACCTGACCACTCAACCCACTACAGCACAACCAACACAAGCTATGAAAAGGATAACACTGCC